TCCCAGCACCCAGGAGGCAGAGGCAGGGGGGTCTCTGAGGTCAAAGCCAACTTGATCTACAGAGGGAGTTTCCGCACAACCAGGACCACACAGAAAAACTCTGTCTCAAAAACAAAACAAAAACGACAACAGCAAAAGCCATTTTTTATTGAAAACTCACCTGAGATGGTGGTTAAGTTCCTATGTAGCCTAGCCTGGCCTTGAACTTGCTATGTGTGGGATGTGGGAAGCACAGAGGTCCTTGTACTCACAGATAGGTGAACCAGGAATATTAAATACCCAGTGCTATTCCTTCAAAGGAAGGGATGCAGGACTGTTACCCACCCAGAAGGCTGGGAGCAGATGTGGTTAATAGCCTAGCGACTTTGTGGTCAAGGCCACTCACCCCCCCCACACACACACACACACACTCCCACTGTTGAGAATCCCACAAGAACACCAAGCTATACACACTTAACATACATGCAGATGACCTAGCTCAGACCCATACAGGTCTGTGATTGTTACTACAGTCTCTGTGATCTTCTGTGAGCCCTACTTAGTTGATTCTGCCTAGTGTTTGGCTGTGGGTCTCTGTGTCTGTTCCCATCGGTTGCTGGATGACACCTCTCTGATGACAACTGGGCTAGGCACTGATCTATGAGTATAGTAGAATATTGTTAGAAATCATTTTGTTGAGTTTTTTTTTCCTAGTTGTGTTTGGTTCTATCCTGGGTATCTGGGCTGTCCAGCCTCTGGTTACTGGTCAGCCAGGAAGCGTCAGGCATGGGGTCCTTCTCATGGTGTGGGCCTCAAGTTACACCAGTCATCAGTAGGCCACTCATGGAGTCATTCTTACTCAGACAACCACATTTTGAAATCCTGGTATTCTACATTTCATTTTCATTATTCCATCTGTGGCCAGTTGGCCAGCTAGGCCTTTTACCCTATCCAAATAGAAATCTCAAGTGCTAGCTTTGGCAGTTTTTTTTTCCTGTAGACTTTGATGGCAATGAATGGCAGCCACAGGCAGGAGGGATCAGCATTAGTCAGCACCCTCTGGTATTACAGCTGTCACAAAAGACTGGTATCTCAACTCTTGGTTCTACAGGTATTGGAGCTCTTGTGTAGACATAAAAATTTGATAATCATTAGCCCTTAGCAGCAGCCCACACAGCAGCTTCCTAGTAGGCCTAGATACCTGGATTCCCCAAGTCTTGACAACAGCCAGATCACAGGCCTGAGGCATGAGACCCTTGGCCTTCAGGGCTTGGCAGTTTTCTGAAGCTCCTCCAGTAACCAGAGCTACGGTTTCTCTTCTCTAGTTCTTTAGAACCCATTAATTAAATAACTAATTAATTTGTGTATTGTGCATATATGTGTGTACACACACACAAGCAAGTACACCAACCTTAGGTGTCATTCCACAGCAATCATCCACCTGACTTCTTGAAACAGGATATTTGTGCTGGGACCTGAGGTTCAGTGATGAAGTTAGGCTGTCTGACCCCTGAACTCCAGGGATCACCCACTCTCTGACTCCCCAGCTGTGGTGTTTTGAAAGAAAATGGTCCCCAAAGGGAGTGGCACTATTAGGAGGTGTGGTCTTGTTGGAGGAAATGTGTCACTGTGGAGGTGGGTTTTGAGGTGTCCTCTGCTCAAGCTACGTCCAGTAAGAGAGACTACTTCCTATTGCCTTCCAGTCAAGATGAGGGACTCTCAGTTCCTTTTCCAGCACCATGTCTGCCCATACACCACCACGTCCCACCATGATGATAATGAACTAGACCTCTGAAAATGTAAGTCAGCCCAATTAAATGTTTTCCTTTATAAGAGTTTCTGTGGTCATAGTATCTCTTCACAGCAATAACTAAGACACCAGCACTCACATTACAAGCACACACCATTATACCCAGCATTTTTGTGAGTGCTCCCAAACCCTCATGCCTGCATAGGAAGATCTTTGCTGACTGAGCTAATTCCCCAGCCCCTCTTCATGGCCTTCCATCCTTCTTCAACCTCACCTCACAACCGTCTCTCTAGTTCCACAATGCCTCTTGTTCCCACCTAGAGTGCTTCTCGAATTGTTTTGGCTGTCCCGTATTGGTACAGCTATTGCCTTGGTCACTATCATCTGGGGAGCAGCTGCAGTCACGTTTTCAGTGTTGCAGCTGCTGCTCCTGCAAGCAGCGGTCTTACACCTCTGCATCTTCCACAGAAGCCTGCCAGCTGCTCAACTGTGCCCCTTCTTCCAATGCTTTACCATCTCTGCAGCTTAGTGTGCAGGCTACCCTTGTCAATCCTGCCCTGTTGTTGTTTTGTTACCTGCCCCATCACTTGAGACACTCTTCCACTGGGCCTAATGTAATACTGTGGGGGGTGGGGCAGTGTGGGAAAGTGTCTTCCAGCTAGCTTAGGGAGTTAGCCAAACACCCAGCTTCTATAGCCAGGGAAGTGTTTGCAACCAATCACAGCACAGCTCACATGCTTTATTAGCATGAAGGTTTATGTGTGCACCAATCATATAGCGTCCTCCTTTTGACACCAGTCCCAAAAGGAGGTGATCCCTATTCAAGATTAGGCAAAAATAATTGTAGTGCTATCTAGAGTCCACTGGAACTTGTAATAGCAAAACGAGGGCAGTTCAAACTGAAACAGCCCCGACTGGGGGTGCACATTCCAGATCCTGAGTGAGTAGTTTCTTTAAGTTGTTCAATGTGGAGTATTCCAAACAGCCAGTTCTGCCATCATGCTTCTCCAGCTGGCTATTGAACTGAGAGTGTTTCTGTTCAGTGCAGCCAGGCCAGCAAGGGGAAATCCAACAGCTTCCAATTAGTGAGTCAAACTGTCCCAATGTGTTTGTTTATTGCTTAGGAAAATGACCATCAGGAGTGTTCAGAGTAAGAACTCAGCATTCACACTAACGGAGATTTAAAACAACGTGCTTTAGCAGCTTCTATCACTTGCTCAGTGCCTCAAGGAAAGGCAGCTCTCCATTATCTGCCTCAAAAATAAACCAAACTGCAAATGAGAGATTGGCTTTCTATATGCTCTGGCAGGATGCATAGTACTGGCACGTGTTCAATGTGATTTCAGTTTGGGTGGTATGTTTTCCATTTTAAAAGATTTATTCTGTGTATTTGTATGTGGCTATGTGGGTGGGGGTGTGTGGGTGTGTTTGATCCCAGGGAGGCCAGAAGAAAGCTTGGATACCCTGGAACATTATAGGTGGTTATGAGTTGCTTGAGGTGTGTTCTGGGAACTGAACTCTGACCCTCTGGAAGAGCAGCAAGCATCCTTATCTCTCTAGCCTTCCTGTGGCATGATTTCTAAACCTCATTTTTCTGGCACTAGGATTCTGCAGATTGCTTCAATCCTATGAACTCTTTGTGCCACTGGATTCAGATTATCAACAAAGCATTTCAGTTTCTGTTTTTCCTCCAAGCTTTCTCCTTGAAGTAGTAATGAACCGCCTTCCTGATTTTGCTGGCTGTGTTTGTCTGATCCTCAGCGGGGTTCTCAGCCACCTTCTTTCTCTGGGTTCATTCCTTTGGCCTTTCCCCTCCACCTTCCCATGAGCAGATCCAAAGTTCACATCTATATTGGATCTGTAAGTCCATGTTCTACCTCCCCTAAATATTTGATTGTGGATCTTTTGCAATGTAGCTCAAAACTGTGCACACGGCAGGAGTCTTTAATAATATGGATTGACGTAGTCTCCCTTACTGGGCAGAATTATTTTATTTGCTCCCTTGGAGAAATTTCTTTGATCACAATTAGTGTTGTCGCTGTCAAATCAGACTATATTCTGTCATACGGAAAGGGACAGTGGAAGAAAGTTGATGGCCTTACGGCACTGATGGGTGCATCAGGCAACACAGTTAGTTTTATGTTGTACAATGGTATCAGCTAGTGCTAGACTGAGAAACTTTCATTGGTTTTCTATTAACCTGAGATCTTAGATCTCAGGATTCTTCTACATCTCTCAGAGACAAAAAAAAATTATTCTCTGATTTGTAATTTACTGCTAACTTTGCTTATTATCCATTTAAAATTAATATCTAGTAAACTGGACACCTGTTAGAATGCTGGAACCAGTGAGTTTGGACCAGCAGAAAACAAAGTAAACAAAAACCTGCCTGCATAGGACCTCCACTCCTTTTAGTTTTTGAGATAGGATTTTATGTAGTCCAGGCTGGCCCTTAACTCACTCTGTAGCTGAGGTTGGCTTTGAACTCCTAACCCTCCTGCCTCACTTCCAGAGTACCGGGGTTACAGGCATTTATCACCGAGCCCCACCATGAGCTTTGTTTTTAATACAAACATATTCTTCATGCCTACTCCAAAGGGGTAGGGTCTGTCATGGTGTCTAAGGCAAGGCAGAGAAAGCATGTTGGCATGGCTGCTGTGAGGTAAGTCAGGAAGCATAGGGTGGAGGGCAGAGAAACTAGGGCAGGAAGCAGACCAAACTGTCATCCTCAGAAACTCACCTCGGGGACCCACAGTGGCCAGCCAGGCCCCACTTTTCACAATAGCACCACCATCTGGGAGTCAGCTGTACAAGTATATGAGCCCCTGGGGTCCATTTCCTATCTAAATCATAGCACAATCCTATACTCAAATTGTATTTATTATTGTTAATATTACCGACTTCTGTAGTGAGTCTTTGTCTGCCCCAGCTTCCAAATCACTATGAAACCTCAGCCAATAGCTTAGGCTTGTTTTTAACTAGATCTTATAACTTAAATTAACCCATTTCTATTCACCTATGTGCTGCTCCATGCTCGTTTCCCTCGTCTACATAACATCCATCCTGCTTTCCTGCTTCCCCTGTGTCTCTTCCTGTCTCTGCCCTTCTTCCCAGAGTCCTCTGTTCCTGGAAATCCTGCCTAGCTATTGGCCATTCAGCTTTTTATTAAACCACTCAGAGTGACACATCTTCACAGTGTACAAAAAGGTTATTCCACAACAGACTTCATGTCTGCTAATTGCAAACATGTAAAGAAATCCTCCAGCACGGGGACTTGATCCACATAACACCACCAGACAAGATAACACTGTATCAGTTTCATATTCCTTGTAGTCATCCAGCTTGCTTAGATCTTTCATTAACTCGAGTCCCTTGCTCACCACAAAGATGCTTGATCTTGGTAAGTGACATGTGGTTATATCTTGCTTGAACAAATAAAGCCTGTCTGAAGGTCAGAAAAAAAGAGCTTGCCACTAGCTAACCATAGAAGTCTGAAGATCAGTACAGACAGACAGGAAGCGAGGTAGCCGGGCAGAAACAGGATATAAGCAGGGAGAAACAGGAAATTGATCTCTTGTCTGCAGAATCATTAAGGAGGTAAGTTGTGCTGTGGCTTGCTCCTTCTCTCTGACATCTATGAGTTTTTTGTTACTAGACCAATTAAGAACCCATTCACAGTGTCAGGCTCAGCTAACTTGCAGGCCTCTGGGGTCATTCACAGTTTGATTTTCTGTTTCCTGGATAGAAAGGAGCAAATCACAACTGGGGGTAGCCTGAGAAAAGGCTCATCTGGCCCAGAACATCTCCATCCTTCCTGGTCTATTAAGTTACAGTCAATAAAAACACTCTAGCTGGGCAGTGGTGGTGCACACCTTTAGTCCCAGCGCTTGGGAGGCAGAGGCAGGTGGATCTCTGTGAGTTCAAGGCCAGCCTGGTCTACAAAGCTACACAGAGAAACCCTGTCTCAAAAAACCAAAATCAAACAAACAAACAAAAACTCTACAACTTCTGAGACTTTCCACAAGATGCAGTTCCCAAAGGAAGCACCATCAGAGTCTTGGTTCTCAAGCCTGGCTGTATCAGGACCAACTAAGATGCTTCTCAAAACGATGCTGATTGCATCCTACCAGAAGAGCACCAACTGTCAACTGGATGACTCTCTCTCTCTCTCTCTCTCTCACACACACACACACACACACACACACACACCTTAGAAAGCCTTTAGCAATGGCTAAGGGCAAGTGTCACGGGCATCTGGAGGTATCTAGAGCCCAAGATGCTGATAAATATCCCTCTGAGCACAGGACAGCTGATTTACATAGCTCCAAAGGTCAATAGTTCCCTGATTAAGGAAAGCTGACTGGGGCTGAAGAGATGGCTCAGCCATTAATGGCAAGACTCACAAACAAAACTACAAGAAAAGCCGGTCCAGGTCTTTACCTATGAATCCAGCCTAGGCATTGAGTTTTTAAAAACCTTTCCCAGGTGATCTTAACATGTAGCCAAGCTTGGGAATCCATGGCTAATACCTGTTGCTGGAGAATATTCCAGTGCGTAGCTAACTTCCACCCCCTACCCCTGAGTTTGCACTGGAAGTTTTCCATTGGAGATTGGTTTCAGAGTTGAGAGTGTTGGAAAGGAGAGGAGTTCGCTGCTTTTTGTGAGCAAGCCAAGGCGACCCACAACATGTGTGATATCTCCACCAACACAAGTTCTGTGGCTTATCACTCACCTTGTGAGTTGGCCTCCCTAGCCCTGTTCAGGAAGATCATTAACCACAGTCAAACAAAGCCATCCCTGGGAACCTTGAAAACACAGGAAACGAGAGAAGCCAGGCACACATAAACGGTTCCCACTTGTGTGCTGTCATCCAAATAAAAAAGAATCTAAAGTAAACCCATAGAGATTAAAAGGGGGGTTGGGAGATGGCTCAGTTGTTGAGAGCATGTACTATTCTTGTAAAGGACCCGAGTTCAGTCTCCAGCCCCCAAGAAAGGTGGCTCAAAACACTTGTAACTCCAGCTCCAGGAGATCTGACACCCTCTTCTGGCTGCTGGGGGCACCTGCACTCATGTGGATATACACCCACACAGACATACCAACATATAATAATTAAAAATAAGTTTTATTTTAATTTAAAATTTAATAAATAATTTAAATTTTTAAGTAATTTAAAGAAGTGGGACTCAACCCAGTGTTTCCACAGCCAGAGGAGCCACATGGGAAAGAGAAAATGCAGGGAGACTACTTAATGTTTACAGAGCATCCTATTGGGGTTAGAAAAAACCTTGAAAATAAAGTGAGGTGATGGTTGAACAGAATGGTGAATATATGAAATACCAATGAGCAGTATTCTTTGAAAAAGAGGAAAAGAAAAACTTCAAAAACTACTAATAATTATTATAATAGTTACTTTTAGAATTATGATTTTAACTAATTAATTGTACCTGTCACCCTTT